GAGAGACTTTCTATTGTGGGGAAAGTGGCGAAGGAAGGGGAAGACGGGGACAGCTCTGTAGCCGTTCCTTTGGACAACCTGCAAGGAATCCCCAGTCCAAAATGGGACAAAATATGCTGCACCGGTCCACGGACGGGTGGGAAGATGAAGCAGAACATTCTGCAGCAGCTGCTGTTGTCTGTGCACCCTCTCTCTCCTCCAGATACACAAGAGTTTCCCTCCTTTCCCTCCACGCCCTTTCCCCCCTTGCTACCCTTTCACTCACCCGAGCTGTCGCTGCCGCCGCCTCGATCCGCCGTCCGATCCCAAACGCTGACAGATGCCGCGGAAGGCTGCGGGCTTCCTTTCTCCCTCGGAAGTAGCGAGGAGGAAGAAGCCGCAAGAAAAGCGGATCCCCCCTGGATGGACGCCGCTGTCCGAGGCCCCGCCGTAGCGACGGGGGGACGCTCGGAGGCAGAGCCCAGGGAGAAAGATCCCACAAAGAGATGCGGCCCCAGCAGCAGCAGGAGGAGGCTGAAGGGACGGAGCAGAAACAGGCGCGTTGCTGGCATGGTGCTTGGGATTTCACACGCCCGGCGTTGATGCTGAGCAGTGATCATAACAACCACCCCAAACATTACCACCACCACCACCATCATCATCGCCATGAAGCAGTTGCAGGCAGCGCCATGCCCGGCAGGCGGGAAGGGAGCGGGCGCCTCAGAGGAGCACAACCGCGGGCGCGCCCAAAGTTCCCCGGGTCAGCGGCGAAGCGGCCGGCCCCCGGGACGGCATGGTCGAGCGGGGCGGACGCGGCTCCGGCAGTGGCCGCTCGCGGTGGCGCGGAGCCTGAAAGTAAAAGCGCCCGCAAGGGCAGGCTCCACCTCGCGGCTGCTGACATCACACCCTGCCGAGGCTGCTCTCTTTCTCCTCAAGCGGCCGTCCCGCTCCCCTCCGCCCCTGCAGGCTGCTCCTCGGGGCATCCCCGAGTCGGGACTCGGTCCTATCTAGGGAGGGGCTGGGAACGGGCCATCGGGTAGAGAAGAGGGTAAGAGAGGAGCGCGCGAGGAGCCCAAAGGCGCGAGTCGAGACCCGAAGCGCGAGGGAGACCCTGGCGCGCCTGTTTTGAGAGGCCCGGAGGGAAGGTGTCAAGCGTGAAGTTTGCGGGCCGACTCGGATAACCAGAAAAGTGCCTGTTTGTAGGCGTGTGTGTGTGTGTGCGCGCGCGCGCATTCACACATCGCCGCTCTCTGCGGGAAGAATAATCCTTGAGGACTAGAAACCTGTCGGTCGTTTTGCTTCGTTCCGATGAACTAATGCCCAACAATGGATTTTTACCCTTTCCCTTTTCTCCCACACATAGACCGAGGCAACCAAATTGTGACTTGTGGGCTGTGGAGATTCTTAAATTAGAGCAGAGATTTTGGCTAGGAATATGAAAAGTGGAGCTATCAGAAATTTGGATGCCTCTTGCATAGCTACAAACATCTCTTTGGTTATTTTCAAGAGTATCAATGCATCCCCCCCCCCCCCATTTCCTACCTCTGTAATTCAAAACTATGCAATTTTATTTTCAAGCAATGATGAAAGTACTATAAGTGATATGAAAAAAATAAAAAAGGCATCTCGTTGGTTTTTATTGAGGTAACTGACTATGTAAAAACTAAAAACCTCAAAGAATTTCTGGCTGAACAAACACATTTTTTTTCAGAGATATGATGATGGTCTAGGATTATATTCAAAATCCCAGAAACAAAAAATGAATTCATTTACAAACTGCAACACTTGCATAAAAGCAAGTTAGTTTTGGGAAAAGTTTTTAAACATTGGTCTGATCTTCATCAAATGCACACTCTTTAATCCAGGAATAATAAATCATATTTATTTCTCTGAACAGTTATTTATCATCTGGTTTCTCTCATCACTTCAACATTGTTCTATTGTCTGCCTAACATTCACAAAACCGTGACTTAAAGATTGAAGCAGAGAAAAGAGAGGGAAAGGTATGTGTGGTATTCATGCCAGGGGGTAGGAAAGAAATGAGTAATGTGGATGTATTAATTATGGATAAATTAATGCAGAAAAGAATTTAAAACATGAAAACAGCAAGATAACCATTTTAGCAAAAACCAATGATTTGGAAAATGAACCTGTAAGTGGTCAGCAAAATAATACCTGCAAGCATTCATGCATCCATGATCCTAAAATGATATTCAACATAACAAAAGTAGAATGAGACTAAATTTGGAATCTCGTGAGATGAAAAACACCACATTTTGCAAGATTCTTGAAGGGAAATTACCAATGATTCAGCATTAGGACTATTATGTGAGATTATATTAGATGAGAAAGTGATTGATGCTACATTAAGATAAAGCCAATCTGCATTAATACATATTTTCTCAAAATTAAAATCATGTTGTGGAAGATAGCCAATACTTTCCATTCACTTCCCACTGATCACATCCTTCTTCTATCCTTGCAATGTGAATTCTTACCGAGAAGTATTGATGTGGATTTAAACTCATTGCAACAGCAATTTGATATAACATTAAAGACAATCACTTGCAAAGAAAAAAACCAGGCATAAATAATCGATGTTTGCAGCTTGTACCATTGCATTATCCTCAAAATATCCCACTGTAATATTTACTACTAAAAATGTTCTTAGTTTGTGCATACCGGTAGTTAGGAGGCTGGGATACTTTTATCCTTGATTCTTTCTTTTTATTTTTCCCATTTACTCTCCTCACTGCTACAGAAATTATCATGCGTATCCTTATTTTTCAGCTTTGAAAGAATTTATTTATTCATTCATTACATCTGTATAAACCATCAACATTTACAGTATAAGAATTATCTGTGATTCCTTCCGCAGTTGTAATTTCTGCATGAATTTAATGCAATTCCACACTAACAGTAACAATTGTGTTCAGTTGTGCTGCTGTTGGCTTACACCATTTCCATCCCGCTCTTTTTATCTCCAGAATTTTATTTCCCTTTCAATTTTATCCTTATGGTGGACTTATAAAGTGAGATATATACAGGTAGTCCTTCATTGAGCCAAGAATTTATGTTGCTAAGTGAGAAATTTGTTACGTGAGTTTTGCCCCATTTTATGACTTTTCATGTCACATTTGTTAAGAGAATCACTGCAGTTGTTAAAATTAGTAACGGTTATTAAATGAATTGGGCTTCCTGATTGGCTATTTGTCAGAATGTCGCAAAAGATGATCACATGACCCCAGGGCACCCCAGTTGCCAATCATCCAAATGTAAACCACGTGACCATGGAGCTGCTGCAATGGTCATAAGTATGAAAAATGGTCATAAGTCACTTTTTTCAGTGCTGTTGTAACTTCAAACGGTTACTAAATAAACTGCTACAAGTCGAGAATTACTTGTACTGAGATATAAGAGGGCTTTCGAGACTGGATGAGGTCCTTAATCAAATTGTCTTCCAGGCTCAACATGCCACAATGTTGGCTATGCATTACAGACTATGCAGCTGTCAAAGCCAAGATCTCAGTTATGGAATAAAATCAACTGTTCTTAAGTTTATTTTTCACGGGTAGAATCTGACACAAGAAATCACATTTTCAATAGAAGGAAATGAAGCAGCCAGCAATAAAAAGAGTGCTTTGGCTTTTCTGCATTTTTTTTCTTTCCTTTTTATATCTTGTCCCATATTTGATGTTCTCATTCCTTTCAGTTCTTTGCACAAGTAGGATAACCTGAATGCCTTAAATGTAATATTCTAAAGCCTGTAGTCATCACGCTTGAATTAGCAGGGTAATTCCTACATAAGGTTTAGGTATTGCATTCCTTCCTTCTGTCATAAACATTTTATTTTTGTGCCTCACGTACTGTGAAAAAGCAGCATTAACTTTCTTTAGGATCTAAGATGAAGGAAAAAAACAATTTTCACTCTCTCATTCTTTCTTTCTATCACTCACACACACACACACACACAAATCCATACATAATTATCTTGCCATTTTGAGAAACCTTAAATGTTAAATCAAAATTACATATTTCTTCTTTCTCGGTCACAGAAACATACATAACCTAGTTTTGGTGATTAACAAGCATCAAATGCTTTTAATTATACAATTACCCATTTATCCAAATATGGAACAACAGATCATCAAACCAAGCAGTTCAAAGGAGCTCTTTAGACCATCAAGCTCAGCCATCTGGTTTGCTGTACAAATCTAAATTAAAGCATTCCTCACCATGGGCTATTAATCCTCTGCTTGATCATATTTAGAGAAATGAAATATACTTCTTAAAGTAATTGATTCCACTTCCATTCCACACTTATTTTTATTGCTGAGAAGTAGTTTGCCTTGTTTGCGTTGCACATTTCAAGCATTAGTATGTAAACAACAAAAAACAGGAATGTTATAAGCTATTTCCCCCCCCCCCCTGGTTTTTCATTGCTTTAATAGGCCCCAATATAGTCAGCAGCCTACTTTTTTCTGCTGTATACACATACATTCTAATCTGAAGTCCTCACATATAATGGATTAACCCAGTGATTAATTTATTTAATAAGATCTTTTTAAAAAACCGAAAGAAATTAATTCAGTAAATAAAATTTAACATTTAGAAAATGAAATTTCAGAAATTAGAATCTGAACTTTAACTCCAGAAGAAATTGTAGAAATATTTGCATCCTTTGTAAAAAAAAATAATAATAATTGGCAAGAATTTGGTTTTTTCAAGCACAAAGTAAATGTGGATATATTTCACTTATGACAAAAATTTGAAAAGGATTAGCAGGACATCTTTTTTTTTCATAGAACATAAAACCAAATCATAGTTCTCTCAGGTTGTACTGTGCAGTCAAATAAGAAGTGCCATTTGCTATTTGTTTTAGCAACAATACTTATTATTAATCAAATAAAATAAAGGCAGAAAATAATGGAAAGAGATTGAGACAGCAAAAACAAAAAAGGGGAAATAGATAATGGTAAGTTTTGAAAACCTGGTATGTAAAGCTCTTAGATATATTATACTTAACAGTAGAATTATTGACTTTTATTACAAATTGTAAGTAAAAGAAAGGGAAAGAGAAATGAATAAGTAGCTTTTAATCTTTGTATAAATATGACAATTTATTAACCTTGAGGACTCTTACTACAAAACAAAACATGTTTCCATAGTGTTTCTAATTACTCAGAAATCAAATTTGGCAATGCTACTTTACTGGCATCAGATGCCAAGTCGCTTTACCAAGCGCATAAATTCTTGTCTCGATGCTTTTTCAAAAGGCAACTGGACTGATTCTTCCCCCACCCCCCCACCCCCGATCCACTGGGCTCAATTGTGATCGTGACTGTCTCTACGGCATCCTGGGCAAGTCCTAGAAGGCATGGAAGCCTGAAGACTAAAGTGCAATTTAAGTTCTACGTCACAGCTAATTGTTTGTGCCTAACTTTTGAAATATAAATAAGGAAGCGTCAGTATGAGTTTAAAGTATTGTTCAGGACAACTGCAAGATTCAGAAAAGTTTGATCCAATTCCAGCGAAGGTAGAAAACTTCTCTGTTCCACCCATAGTAAACACTTGCATTGATTGTCCATAATAGCTTTTCTCTCTTTATATTCTGTAACTCAGAAGTTCCCTAAATTCTTCTGTTCTTTGACCTCTTCATTAAGTTTTAGATTGCTCATCAATCCCCAAATATTTATTACATGAAAATAAACACTATTTTGATTAACAGTACTACA